GAGGGAGGGAGGGAGGGAGGGAGGGAGGGAGAGAGGGAGGGAGAGAGAGAGGGAGGGAAAAAAGAAAATGAGAAAGTCTTGTCCTTTCAGAAGAACTCCACCCTCTGCCCACAGAGTCTCCCTCTGGGACAACCCATCCCAACCTGTGATACCTCAGCTGTGTGGTCTGAAATAACACTACAGGGTTCGCCCTCAGTTCACTTCGTTCCTGCTGACATCTGCCTGGGCTCCCAACTTTCTCCCAAGCGAGCATAAATTTGAACGAGGACACATATGGACCTTGGGGAGGGGAATCTGATTGCTCCTCCCTTAGTGCTCTAGGAAGTGGTAGAGCAGTAGTGACAAGAGGGACTCCAAGGAAAGAGGAGGATGGGCTGTGAGTGTGTGAAGGGCCACTCAGGGCACAGCTTAAGGCATCTTGGGACTCTGCTCAAGCCCTACAGTTGCCAATCTTTCTGACCATCTCTGCCCAGCCCAGGGCATAGCCAAAGGGAGGTAAGACTCCCTCCTGCCTTGCTTCCCCAGAGGCCAGCCTAGTATCAGGCGCATGGAGGCCTTCAGATGAATCAAACTGACCCAAGTCCAAATTGGAATAAAATGAGTGAGGGTTGGTTGCCCTCACCTCTTCCTGGAAAAGCATAAACAAGAGTAAACGTGGGCCAGGCAAGGTGGCTCACATCTGTAATCCCAGCACTTTGGGAGGCCGAGATAGGCAGATCACTTGAGGTTGGGAGTTCAAGATCAGCCTGGCCAACATGGTGAAACTCTACTAAAAATACAAAATTTAGCTGGGTGTGGTGGTGGGCATCTGTAATCCCAGCTACTCAAGAGGCCGAGGCAGGAGAATCACTTGAACCTGGGAGGAGGAGGTTGCAGTGAGCTGAGATTGAGCCACTGCATTCCAGCCTGGGCGACAGAGTGAAACTCCATTTCAGAAAAAAAAAGAGGTCGGGCGCGGTGGCTCATGCCTGTAATCCCAGCACTATGGGAGGCAGACAAATCATCTGAGGTCAGGAGTTCGAGACCAGCCTGGCCAACATGATGAAACCCCATCTCTACTGAAAATACAAAAAGTAGCTGAGCATGGTGGTGGGCGCCTATAATCCCAGCTACTTTGGAGACTGAAGCAGGAGAATCACTTACACCTGGGAGGCGGAGGTTGCAGTGAGCCGAGATTGTGCCATGGCACTCCAGCCTGGGCAACAAGAGCAAAATACCGCCTCAAAAAAAAAAAAAAAAAAAAAGAATAAATGTGACATTGGGCAGAGTTAGAAAAGAAACATCTACATTCAGCCAGGACAACAGGAATGATCTAGAACATGTGGTGTGAATGGAAAGAACCAGCGTCCAAGCTGCTGTGCCTCTGCCTGGGTGTCTAGTGGGGCTGCCAGGGGGTGGTGCCTGCAGAACAGCCAAACAGCTGGCCAGATTCTCCTCCTAAGCCAGATGATGCCATTTGTTGTTCCATCCCTAGCCAGCTGTCAGTCCTTCCTGGGCCCCGGGTCCCGGGCCCCAGGAGAGGTGCGCCATTGCAGCCTCCTGCCCTCAGCTGCCTCTGACTCCTAGGGCAGGCAGAGGGGCAAGGGGACTGGGCACACTGGCTGGGTCGGGGAGTCAAGGCCTTCACTTGGCACTCACTGCCACAGGCCGTAGGAAGCCAATCCAGTGTGGGCCCAGGGTTTGGGACAGATCCCACCAGCTGGAGCAGGAGAAGGCACCTCCAGCCCCCTTTGGCCAGGGCCAATCTCTGTTCCTGACTGGCACGAAGGCCTGGGTGGCGGGAGGGGCTCAGATCCGGTGGAACACCAGCTGTCCAGGCAGATGGCCAGGTCGGAGTGCCCACTCCGGCTTCACCAGCCCAGAGGACTTGGGCAAGTCACTTCTCTCCTCTTGCTGCCCTTTCTCTGTGAGAGATGAAAAAACATCGTAAACACTGTTGTCCTCAGATGGGCTTAGAGAGCTTGGCAAGATAGCGCATGTGAAGCTCCCGCATGGTGCGCTGCACGGGGCGGGTGCTGGTCTGTTGGGCATTCCTTTTCCTGGGAAAGCCTCTCTGTGGCTTTGTTTCCTCCTCTGTGAAGTGGGAGGTTTGTGGGAATCCAGCGTGACCACAAGGTGAAGGCCTCAGCATAGTTCCTAGAACCGAGGTCCCCCATAAACAGGATTCTGCCTCAGGGTCTGAGTCCCTGCCCTTTTCCCTCTCCACAGGACTCAGCCCCTGGCAGGCTTGTGGTGGAGACAGTGAACGGTCTTGTAGTGGTGGGATTTGCCCACCTCCGTGTCCCTGTGTTTGAGTCTCTTCTGCTTGAGTCTGAACTTCAGGCTGGTGGCCACAGAACCCAACACTCTCACTTTACAGATGAGAAAACGGAAGCCTGGAGAGGGCCAGGGACTTGCCCAGGTTCCCACAGCCAGTCCATGCCGAAGCTGCGCTAGGACACCCTCCTCTCTGTGCCCAGCGGTGCCACAACACCCCTTTCTGTCTGCTTGAAAACTCCTCTTCATTCTTGCCGATCTGTACTCATCTTTCAGTCTCTGCCTCTTTAGCAACCAGAGCCTATGAAGAGGTGACCAGGCCCTGGTCAATCCCTGGAGCAGAGAAACTGGAGGTGTAGGGGTGGGAACTGAAGGGGAGGGGCATGGCAGGGGCCGAGAATGTGGCTGCTCTGGCCCGGGGGCCTGAGCCAGGCTGCCTACAGAGGAGCCAGTGTGCCCAGACATTAGGGCTTTGTGAGCTGAAGAGTTCGGTGTGGGGATGGTTGTTTTGTTGAGCTGACATTGTTTCAGGTTGACTGAATGTCAGTGTCTTAGTGCCCAGGAGCCAGCTCTTTAGAGCCAGCCAGGGTCTTGGGGAGAATGTGGCTGGGGCATCCTAGTCTGGATCAAGGAGGGGAGGGGGCTGCCCGTGCCCCGTGAGTGCTGAGCAGGTCCTTGAGGAGAAGACTGCAGAGGAGGAGTGAGTCCTAGCGTGGATACCAAGAGAGGCGAGAGGAACAGGCGCCCTTGCACCTTGGGGCCAAAGCAGAAGGGCCTGGCCAGAGTGGAGGATGGACAGAGGCAGGACAGGGACCTCTGGAGGCTGGTGCCTTCCTGCCAGGGCACTGGGAGCCCTGAGGACACAGCGATCAAACCTTCGTCCACAAAGGAAGAGCCAAGAGAACCCTGGGGACCAGGAGGGCCCCAGGAGGCCTTGGGGACTGGCCAGGCGGGTGGGGTGGGCCAGACTCACAGCTGTCCAGATGTGGGTAAGAGATAACTCTGTTTACTGGGCACCCAGTGGGAGAAGGGTGGGGGGTGGGAAGGGGCACCCTGGGCCAGTGGGACGGGCAGATTAGGAGGCGGGGGCATGAGTCAGGGGTTTGCAAGCTGCCCCCGGGGCGCTGGTGCTGTCAGAACGAGTGGGAACGTAGCTGGTCGCAGAGGGCACCAGCAGCTGCAGGACTTCACCGAGGGACCCTGAGGCTCGTGAGCAGGTGAGCAGGGCAGGGAGGGGCTGGGGATGGTCCTTTGGTGCCTGCCCTGAGGGTTTCTGCAGGTGCCCAGCCTGAATCTATGCCCAGGTGGGCAAGGCTTCTGACCTCCAAGGGGATGCAGGTGGGTAAGGTGAGAATGTTACCAGGCGCATGTTGCCCCTAAGGGAACCTGAAAAGAGGAGGGTGGCAGGTGGTCAATGGCAGCAGTGGTGTGTGTGGCTCTGGCGTGTGTGTTGCAGGGGGTATCTGATCCCCTCCAGGTATGGGCCCTTGTCAGCTTGTTGGATCCCACAGGCTCAGGTCTCGTCCACCTCAGACTCCTTCCTTCCTAATAGGGGTCCTCAGGCCACCCCATCTCCCACCTAGGAGGCAGGATGTCAGATGACACAGTCTCCCCTTTGGGACACTTCCAGGGGTCCACCTGGGGCACCTGGCTCCATGCCCAGTGTGGTCAGTATTGGAGGGAACTGCAGAGCCTCCTACCATGTGAGAATCTCAAAACGCTTAGCTCAGGCTAATTCCATGAGAACTGAGGGCAAATCAGAGGGGAAATGAAGATGGCAAGCCTGACTATAACCCCAGCAGCAGGGATAATGACAGCAAACATTTTCATAGAGCTCCTTATATGCTAGGCACTATTCTAAGCCCCTTACAGATGTAAACTTCCTTAATGCTTACAACAGGTCTATGAGGTGGGCATCATTATTATCACTCCCATTTTACTCATGAGAAAACTGAGGCACAGAGAGTTGAAGTCACTTGCAGTTAGTAAACGGCAGGGCTGGGCTTTGAACCCAGGCAGTCCGACTGCAGAGTCCGTGACCTTAACCACTAACTCTAAACCAGCTAACAGCTGTTTTGTTGGAGGCAACTGAGCATAGTGCTTACAGATGTGGCTGGAGTCAGGTAGTCCAGGCTGTAACCTGCCTCTGATACCTACCTGCTGGGTGGCTGAAGCAGGTAAATGTCTCTGAACCTCAGGTTTCACATCTGTAGAATGGACTAATGACATTACTCTTCTTCCTCTTAGAATCTCCAAACCACTTCACGAGTGCTTTGGGGATTCTAAGAGTTAAAGCATTAAGGTTCTTTGTGCAGTTCGGGCTGATTACACAAACGTGGTGCCACACCACTAGAAAGCTGTCCCTGTCATCTGGTCAACCCCCTTCCCCACTGTGTCTTCCCAGCTGTGCTATACCTTCTAGGTTCAGATGTCCCGCTCACCCTTATCTGGCCTGGCCGTGGCCAGCTAGCTAGCTGGCCAGGTGTTTGGTACACTTCCAAACTTGGAGCAGCGATCTGGGTCCAGGCCCTTATCAGTGCTAGGCAGCACAAGGCCTGCAGCTGGGGGTTGGCCGGGCTGGCAGGTGGCAATCCGGGTCATGGGCGCGCCCTATAAGTCTCCAGCTGAGCTCAAGGCACCCCCTTTTCCCCCCTCTTCTTTCTCACTGATGTCTCAAAACCCTGGCAGGAAGGCACTCCCATTGTACAGATGGGGTGACTGAGGCCTACAGGCTAGAAGCTGCCCAAGGCCCTTCAGTCAGTCAGTGGAAGAGAGGCAGCTTGGACCTCTGGATTCTCCAGCTCTGAGGGCCCCTCTGACCGTTCCACTCCTCAGATGGGCAACCAAGGCCACAGTCTCAGCCCCACGGGCGGGACTTTTAGTACCTAAGGATTAGACACCCTGGAGACCACTCGGGATCTGAGGTCTAAGAAGGTACATGGGCAAGTCCAGAGAAGGAAGAAAGTGAATAAAGATGGAAGAGAAAGGGAGAGGAACTTTGGGAGAAGCAGAGAGGGAGGAGGAAAAAGAGAGAGAGAGAAGAGGTGGGTGATCAGGGTCCTCAGGAGCAAAGCCAAGCCCTGCAATAGGGACTACCCCATCCTCAGGTCCAGGACCCCTCCCCTGCACCCCGTCACTTGCCCCACCTGCCAAGGCAGGGGCCTCTCCCGTTCTCCAGTCTGGTGAGACCCAGTAATCCCCTCCCTAGCCCCAGGACTGCAGGGTCACCCATTCCTCAGAAAGAAGGGTCTCTGCACATTCCTTTCCTTCTTTTCCCTTTTATTTCTTTGAGACGGAGTCACGATCTCAGCTCACTGCAACCTCTGCCTCCCTGGTTCAAGGGATTCTCCTGCCTCAGCCTCCCAAGTAGCTGGTATTACAGGCACGTGCCACCACGCCTGGCTAATTTTTGTGTTTTCAGTAGAGACGGGGTTCACCATGTTGTCCAGGCTCCCTACCCCATGCCCTCACATGGCATTTTCCCACCTTGTTCAGCCCACCTGTGCAGCTCCATCCAGCCATGCCCCACACCTGGGCTCCCAGACCTTCAAACCTCACTTGTGCTTTTAGGCCACACCAGTGACCCCTCCTCCAGTGACTCCACCCACCGGGTGCCGCAAATGCATCCTGCTCTTCCTCCTGCCATACAGATCCTTGGCACTCAGCACATTCGGCCCCTGGGGTCCACATCACCTCAGAAGCACTGAGGCTGCCCTGTGTTCCCGTTTGCCTCCTTATCAGGGCTAGGAGCTTCCCCAGCGTAGGGATAGGCCTTGTTCAGCTCAGCACTCCCTCCCACCAGCCTCCAGTGCTCAGCACTCCCTCCCACCAGCCCCCAGTGCTCAGCACTCCCTCCCACCAGCCCCCAGTGCTCAGCACAATGCCAGGCACGGACTGGGAAACTTTGTTGAACCGACCCAATTCCCTGTCACCACATTGCCTTGTGCTGTAGTGGGTGAGGGGGGAAAGGAGTCCCCTCCACACCCAGTCTGGGGCCACCTTAGGTGCCCCTTGTCTTCCCCTTGGACCTGCCCTCACATTCCTGGGGAGGGCACACCTTTCTCTCTGCTAGGGACACAATTGAGAAAACTGAGACCCCGAGCTTGGAGGCCTCTTGCCTGGGACCTAGTCATCCTGGCTCCCCAGTCCCAGAGCCTCAACCCTGCAATAGGGAGCCATTCTTACGGGCATTCGATAAATGTTTATTGAGCACCTACTATGTGACAGCCACTCTGCTAGGAGCAGGGAATTTTGTAGGGATTGAGACATACAGGGTCTTTGCACTCAGGTGGCTTCCCTTCCAAAAGCATTGTCAGACACTATGAACACAAATCAATCAAGAAACCATGCATTGGTTTTTTTGTTTTGTTTTGTTTTGTTTTTCTTCTGAGAGACTCTCACTCTGTCATCTAGGCTGGAGTGCAGTAGTGCCATCTCGGCTCACTGCAACCTCTGCCTCCCAGGCTTAGGCAATCCTCCCACCTCAGCCTCTCAAGTAGCTGGGACTACAGGTATGCATCACCACACTCAGCTAATTTTTGTATATTTGTAGACACGTGGTTTCACTATGTTGCCCAATTGGTCTCAGACTCCTGAGCTCAAGCAATCTGCCCACCTCAGCCTCCCAAAATGTTAGGATTACAGGTGTGAGCCACTACGCCCAACCAATAAACCATTTAAAAATTAGTCAGGATGGTGATGTGTGCCTGTGGTCCCAGCTACTCTGGTGACTGAGGTGGGAGGATCACTTAAGTCCAGGAGTTTGAGGCTGCTGTGAGCTGTAATCATGCCACTGAATTCCAGCCTGGGTAACAGGGGGAGATCCGCTCTCAAAAAAAGAAAAAAGAGGAAAGAAATCAGCAGCCCAGACTGAGATAGTGAGACCCTGTTTTACACACAATATTTTTTTTAATTAGCTGGGCACTGTGGCATGCCTATAATTCCAGTTACTCGGGAGGCTGAGTCAGGAGGATCCCCTGGGCCCAGGAGTTTAAGGTTGCAGTGAACTATGATCATAGCACTGCACTCTAAGCCTGGGTGACAGTGAGACTCTGTCTCAAAAAAGAAAAGAGAGAGAGACAGAGAGAAAGGAAGGAGGGAGGGAGGGAGGGAGG